AACAACCTTTGTGCAAACACAAGTTGAGCCGAATAAGTTACAGTTTTGCTTAGATTGTTTACAGCACAAGAAAAATCAGTGATGTGGCAACTAAGTCAACAATCTATCTTTAAACTGAAACTACTTGAAACGAAAAAAAAAAAGATTTTCTTTACCTTTTGCTAAAAATCTTTCAGGTCCCCCTGAAATTAGAATGAACATTATTTGAACTTGCAACTACCAAGAAAATTGTCTCTAGTACAAGAAAAATCCGTGGTGTCAAGTAAGCCGACCAACTTTGAGCAGACACCAAGAACACCAAAAATTTTTTATGATTTTCTTTAAAAATCTTTCAGGTCCCCCTGAAATTAGAATGAACATTATTTGAACTTGCAACTACCAAGAAAATTGTCTCTAGTACAAGAAAAATCCGTGGTGTCAAGTAAGCCGACAAGAATTGGGCGAACAAAAGAAAATCAACTATTCAGTTTTCTCGGAATTTTTCTATTGAATTTCCTTGACAAAGAAAAAAAACATAATCCGGCCATGACTCGAATCCCAGACCTTGGGGTACAAAGCAACTGCTGTATCTCCAGGCCAAGGGTGAAGCAACCTGGAGCATGTTAAAAGAAGGTAACAAAAGAAGAGAAGAGAAGCTAAGAAGATAAGTGAAATGAAGTGATTCCACTGGTTTTGTTGAACTAGTTGTGAACCCGACAAAAGTCTAATTCCAGTTTGATAACGCTTGCTTATGGCATGCATAATAAAAAAAGTTGAAACCTGGATTTTTGATCTAGTAAATGCAAAAAAAAACCCTATTGTCTTGACTGAGGATAATATTAGCAACCACATTGTTTAAAGGAAAGAGCTTGCACTAAATTTCTGGTTGAGTAGACGATAAATTAGGCTTGATCCACTATCACGGACAAGCCAAACGGAACAATAAAGCAAACTAGTGGTTTTATGAATAAGGTCATTTTCTGGAAAAAAAACCAGGTAAATGAAGTCACAGAAGTCATCAAGGAATTAAGAGCTGAACACTTTACAGATTGCTATGATATGTATAGTGGTCTCATCAAACATTTGGAAAACATACTAGCAAGTTCTCCAACATAAATTTTTAATGACTGCTGTAACCTCAGGAACCAACCCAAACTGTTAAAAATTGTTAAAATAGGATCAATTTCCTGAAAAACATGATCAATGCTCCTTCAGACTATAGAACACTTTCGACTCTACCAATTCTGGGAAGATGTTATGCGCAACTTTCTAAATCAGACCAACCAAACGTAGACCTTTTTAATATACTCTAAAAAAATCAGCTTGATTTCAGATCAAAAATAACTCTGATGAAGCCGTCACCCAAGCGTTAGAAAATGTTTCAACGTCGTTAACGAACACAAACCTAACTGTTCAAATTTCATTTTGACCTCAAAATACTTTGATGCAGATGATGATTGATCTAACTTGCTAAACTGATAAGAACATGTTGTGATTCAGCGAGTTTCTGCTGAAGTTTTTGCAATTCTACCTTGGCACTCATTATCAGTATATCGAGACAATTTTTTTTGAGACAGAACTTATATTGGTATTTTTTGGTGTAACAAAGTGTTTTTTTGCAAGCAAAGTACACTCTTTTGAAGTCTTCATACTAAAAAGAAACTTTCACTCTCCAACATCAATTGCAGGAAAAAAAGATTAGTTAGAATAAAATTCGACACTAAAGTTCAAAAAATACATTCAAAAATCTGATGGAAGGATAACAAAATTTTTTTTAATGAAACTGAAATAAAGTATGTTGAATGTTCCAAACATTTTGGAAAACATCTCGACACAAATTGAAAATGACTCAGCACTTTGATCAAAACAAAAAAATGTATTATCTTTTGGAACTATTGTTACGCGGCAAAACCGAATCAAGACAAACATAATGGATTCATGAAAAAGGAAAAAAAGTGGGGCATATTGGAGAAAAAAATAGCAGTCGCAATGAACAGGGTGCGCGTCAGCATTTTCTGACAGCATTTTCTGACAGCAGGTGGGTGGCTCTGTGTTCTGTTGTTACTCGATGGGATCTTCTTTCTAGAGTACATTCTTTGGATAGCTTGTGGACGCCTGGTCATCCTTTTGAAGTCCCGAAAAGAAAAAGAAACTATCGCTCTCCCACATCAACCAACTTTGCTAAAGTGAAGGATTAGTTAAAAAAAAGAAAAATTGAGACTAAATTTCAAAAAAGACCTTGAAACACTATTGGACCCAAAAATCTAAAAGAAGACTGTCAAAGTTTTTTTCGACAACAACGAAATAGAAAATGTAGCATGTTTTAAAAAATTCGGAAATCATTTCGATAGCAAATTGAAGTTGATTCAGCACTTTCATTGATACATAAAAGTTTTGCAGCTACGTGGAGTGTTTTTTCATTGAAAATTTTTTTAACAGAACAATCACCTGCCTATAAAAACTTTTTGCGACCTATCATCCGATCTAGATTTTAACTTTACGCAAACAGCGACAAAATAAATTGTCAGACTAGGAAATGAAAAAAGAAGCTCACTAGAAAAAAATATATAAGCTCAAAGCGGATTCAATAACCATAATAATGCATGAAAAAAGAAAATAAACAACTTTAAAAAAGTTTGCGTACAAAACTTTGAAAATTATTGCGAAAAGTTTTTGTCAAGGATGCTAATTTGGTTAAATCAGATGTGCTATAACTGAATGCGAGTTAAACACAAATTATACCGAGAGATTATAAAATCATAATTTTGAAATACATAGATAAAAACTCGACAGAGGTTCGATCAGATCTAAAGTTCCGAAGAGGTTCAATTTTTTTTTGGATTTTTTTCTTCCGGATCATTTTTAAGAGGCACTTCTCTAAAGCAAGTGAATAGTTTTATTGATAATTTGTTTTGTAAAACTGCATTTTAGGAAATACGATTTTATTGGTCTATCTTCCAGATTTTTCTTTTGACGATTATGCACAATTTGTTGCTACTGGTTTCCAGGTCATGGCTAGAAATAAATACCGGAGAAAACAAAACAAAATTGAAAAGAATACGGTGGAAAAGAGGGTATAAAGAGGTGTACGCTTAACAAAATCTTACAAGTAGAACAATCCATTGGATTTAATCGCCAAAATTTTGTTGTTCTCCGCTTAATGAGACACCTTAAAATGGGCCACACTGGCTGAATGATGTCCGCGCATACGATTAAGGTTTGATTTTAAAAAAATTGCCTAAAAAATCTGTAACTACACATAGTCTGGAAACAAATTAGTACCATCAAAGTTATTTAGAAAGATCAACAGAAATGAGGTCATATTTTTTAGTACTTGTGTTCTGTTGTTACTCGATGGGATCTTCTTTCTGGAGTAAATCCTTTGGATAGCTTGTGGACGCCTGGTCATCCTTTTGAAGTCCCGAAAAGAAAAAGAAACTATTGCTCTCCCACATCAACCATCTTTGCTAAAGTGAAGGATTAGTTAAAAAAAGAAAAATTGAGACTAAATTTCAAAAAAGACCTTGAAACACTATTGGACCCAAAAATCTAAAAGAAGACTGTCAAAGTTTTTTTCGACAACAACGAAATAGAAAATGTAGCATGTTTTAAAAAATTCGGAAATCATTTCGATAGCAAATTGAAGTTGATTCAGCACTTTCATTGATACATAAAAGTTTTGCAGCTAGGTGGAGTGTTTTTTCATTGAAAATTTTTTTAACAGAACAATCACCTGCCTATAAAAATTTTTTGCGACCTATCATCCAATCTAGATTTTAACTTTACGCAAACAGCGACAAAATAAATTGTCAGACTAGGAAATGAAAGAAGAAGCTCACTAGAAAAAAATATCTAAGCTCAAAGCGAATTCAATAACCATAATAATGCATGAAAAAAGAAAATAAACAACTTAAAAAAGTTTGCGTACAAAACTTTGAAACTTATTGCGAAAAAGTTTTTGTCAAGGATGCTAATTTGGTCAAATCAGATGTGCTATAACTGAATGCGAGTTAAACACGAATTATACCAAGAGGTTATCAAATCATAATTTTGAAATACATAGATAAGAACTCGACAGAGGTTCGATCAGATCTAAAGTTCCGAAGAGGTTCAATTTTTTTTTGGATTTTTTTCACCCGGATCATTTTGTAAGAGGCACTTCTCTAAAGCAAGTGAATAGTTTTATTGATAATTTTTTTGTAAAACTGCTTTTTAGGAAATACGATTTTATTGGTCTATCTTCCAGACTTTTCTTTTGACGATTATGCACAACTTGTTTCTACTGGTTTCCAGGTCATGGCTAGAAATGAATACCGGAGAAAACAAAACAAAATTGAAAAGAATACGGTGGAAAAGAGGGTATAAAGAGGTGTACGCTTAACAAAATCTTACAAGTAGAACAATCCATTGGATTTAATAGCCCAAATTTTGTTCTGTTCTCCGCTTAATGAGACACCTTAAAATGGGCCACACTGGCTGAATGATGTCCTCGCATACGATTAAGGTTTGATTTTAAAAAAATTGCCTAAAAAATCTGTAACCACACATAGTTTGGAAGCAATTTAGTACCATCAAAATTATTTAGAAAGATCAACAGAAATGAGGTCATATTTTTTAGTACTTAAGAGTTATATTGCCTTTATAAGAGTTATATGACTGGGCGTCGATATGGAGCATATTATGCATGGCATATGAAACTGTTTTCTTTCTAATAATCATTAGCAACTCATTACATGAAATGTGAACTAAACAATTTGAGACCGCATTCTCAAGAAGAGTTTCAGGTGGGTGTTGAGCATTTAGTAACAGAAACGGGACCCTTTATCAGATGAAAAAGTCGACTCGCTCCGTAAACTCCCCCATGGAGCAGCTTCCTTTAAACTTGCTCCTGTTAGCTTTTTTTTAAAAGATCGCATCAAGAAGACACGCTATGTCATTTTTTATCATTCTTCTTTCTTCTTGTAAAATATGTATGTTGAAAATTGAAGGGTTCGTTGAACTGATATTAAAATGATACTAACTTTTGGAACGTTTGTTACGCTGCAAAACCGAATCAAGACAAACATGATGGCTTCCATGAAGAAATGCGGCATGTTGGAGAGAATGAAAACAACAGTCACAATGAACAGGGTGCGCGTCACCATTTTCTGATGGTAAGCGGGTGAGTGGCTCTGTGTTCTGTTGTTACTCGATGAGATCTTCTTTCTAGGATACATCCTGTGGATAGATCGTGGACGCCTGGCTTCAAAGGTCTCGCTATCGTAGACAGACGTGACCGGATGTACGGTATGATCATGAGTAGCGTCTCCTGATATGTTGCGCTCCCTGAAAATGACCGAGGTTCTGTGATGAAGCGAGTCGCCTAGACTTCCCTGGTGGATCCTGTCAATCAAAATAACACCGATTAAGAAGAGATATTGCTTTTCAAAAACCATGATGCGTAGATTCAATGTTACTTATGCATTCGACATCTACGATTTTCAGTACAATTTACTTTTGATCAGCGCGCTTGAAATTTAGTTTGATTTGCATGTTTTGTTTCAAAAAGTGAAATCAAAAGTGACTCACGAAATCTGGTCTGAGATATGGACGGTGAACTTTCCCCTGCTTTCAGATGGCTTCCGGGTGCCAAGCAGACATGCTGACGTGGAAGAGCAGCCCGATTCGCATGGGGGACCAATTTGCGGTACTGGGGGAGCACTCGATGAGTGCAGGTAGTTTAGACACTGCATCCGCTGATCCACATCAAAATTATTCTGATAGGGAATCATCTAAAATCAGGGGCGGATTTAGGGGGGAGGGGCGGGGGGGGGCTGAACGTTTTTACCTTAGAGATTCAACCCCCTGCCGACCCAAAGGGTCCCCCTTTGTACTATTTTGAGATATCCATATTTGTTGACGGACCCTAAAAATTTTCCAATATATACTTACTTTGAGAGGGGAGCGCGCGCCAAAAAAACGCAATTTTGTTGGTCAAAATTTTCTAAAAAATGCCTAAAAACGCGTTTTTTGGCCAGTTTTTCAAAATTGTGCCTGAGGCGCATAAAGTTTGACCAAAACAGGGTATTTTTAGTGCTTTGGAAGAGCTCGGAAAAGTAATTCAGTCGACCTAGAAAAAAAGGACCTAGAAAAAGGTCGACCTAGAAAAAAAAATCCCTGCCCTCGAGAAAATCTTAGACCCTGTCTAAAACATAAAAATTTCGGGTACAAAACAAAAAGAACTCTCAAAACGTAAAGAGAAATTGAAACAAACAAAAACTTTGATACAAAAAAAAGAACCAAAACGTAAAGAGAAATTCAAACCAAACAAAGTCGTTGATAAAAAAGAGAAAACATTGCTAATTGGGCAAGTTTTTATTTTTTAGTTTGGTGTTGAATTGTTCAGGTCAAAATTGATCTGTTTGCAGTCGAATAAATTGATTACTGGGCTCTTCGTAAGTACAAGAAAACCTTCGATGTCTCACATTGGTTTGACTGGTCTTTGACGCGGCATAACTATCTGAGGACTCGCGGGACTTCTTGTACATAAAAGGTTCGGCCTTGAAAGTGTGGGTGACCTTGGTGATGACGTAGACCATACCGATTGCGTCAAAAGTGACAAAGAGACACCTCACAAAGTGCCACACTAGTTCAATTAGCAGAATGACCAATCTGCTCGTAACGAGGAACTGCAGACAACAGAATACGCCTGAAAGAGATAGTTTGCTAGAGACAATAAATTTCCACTTGAATTGATATTTGTGAAAAATTGCTCCTTTTTAACTCAATTTTGTTTTTCAAGCTTTCGAAAAGCTCAGTGGTCAATCTTCCTCCTGTCGCCTATGTTTTGGCGTGAGATTGTGAAGCTTTACCAGGATTGATTATTCGGCTTACTACCCCTAGATTACAAAATGCTAACAGTTTTTTTTTCTTTTGAGGTTTCGATACGTTGCCATCAAATGTTTTTTATTCAGATTTTGATTTTGGTGTTGTGACGTTTCAGCATGCAAAAAAACCTGAACATTTTGTTGCTTGGCCTCGATTTTGCCTTGGCGGGATTTAATGGCATTTGTCTTTAGGCGTTAACTTCAATCTGAACCTGTCACACCAAAATAGCTCTGTGCAATTTAAGAATTGTCTGAAAAAGTGAATTTGTTGTTTCGATTTTTTATATTAGTTGATACAAATGCAATTTTGGACCAGTTTAGCACCCTCCTCCCCCCATCCAAAGGGGGATGCTTACTTGGTTCTGAGTTTGATTGTTCAGCCAATCAGAAAAGGTCATTTTACACGCACGCTTAGTAGTATTAATTTAAGTTGAACGCTGGGGTGGGAAACTTAATTTGGTCCATTTGGGGGAAGATGTTAACTTATTGTTCCCAATTTTTAAGCTAGTCGAAACACGGCCAAAACTGAAAGATAAATGTTGCCGCGAAACGGTGACACGTCCACAAACGTCGGAGGCGGAGTAATAACCCGAATGGCCTAAGAGCAGAAAAATACCAAAATACACAAAAATGTTGAATCATAAGGTAAAATCAAAACACAAATTTTAGAATAAAAAATATTGTCAGTAAAATGAATAAAAAATAAATAAATTTGAGAAAGTTTGTGTTTTCAACTATTTCGGCAAACTTTCAGCGATTGCATTCCAATAAGTCTTTCATTACGAGGCCAAACTGTGCACTGGATAGGTGCACAATTTTGTGTCTGCATGTTTCTGGATTCCATACACAAACCCTTAAACAGCTTCCAATTTTTAAGTAAATAACTGTAACCTAAATTTTGTCGGCACATTTGTTGTGCCGCGGATTCCGAAACAAGCTAAAATTGCTAGTTGTTCTGGATTCCGCAACTGCAAGTGGATTCCACAAAATGTAGGTGAAATCCGCAAATGTAAGTGGAATCCGCAAAATTTGTAAGCGGAATCCGCAAATGTAAGCGGAATCGGCAAAACTTAAGTGGATTCAGAATTTTGTTTATTACTGAAATTGCATATGAACAATTTAAAGGCAAGGACTTAACCATTGTCAGCGGAACCTCCAAAAAAATCTCAAAAATTTTTTAAACTAAATTGGTGGATGTCGCCTTTTGGTCTTTTTTAAACACAACACCGAATATATTCAAAATTTGGGTTGAGAGTATCGAAATACAACACACAGCATATCGGCAAATTAGGTCAGTGTTTGGGATTGCGTCAATCTCAAATACTGATTTTGGAAGCATAACGCCGAATATATTCAATACTTTTGGTCTTTGGGTTGAGAGTGTATGGGAACACAACACACAGCATATCGCCAAACTAGGTCAGTATTTGGGATTGCGTCAATCCCAAATATTAATTTTGGAAGCATAACGTCGAATAAATTCAATATTTGTAGTCATTGGCTTGAGAGTGTTTGGAAACACAACGCACAGCACATCGCCGATCTAGGTCAGCATTGGGATTGCATAAACGCCAAATACTGGACAGTATTTGAGATTTCATTAATCCCAAATACTGTTGATCTAGTAGATTCCGACTCTAGTGAAATGAGATCAAAGTTGAGATTGAAGCTGACAGGTTTTGAGATCGAAATTGGGTTGACAGAAATTGTTGACAGGAAGTTGGAGACCAAATGTTTGGTATTTCAACTGGTAGTTGATCATAGTAGTAATTGAGATTGATTTTTCTGGTGACCATCTAGTAAACAAAAGATATAATTTTGAACGCTAAATTACACAAATACATACATGTAAACAGAATCCGCAAACAAAATGCGGATTCCACTCACACTTTGCGGTTTCCGCTTAGAGTTGCGGATTCCGCAACAACTCAATTTAGCTATACAAATGTCGTATTAATTGTTTGTGAATTACACAAATTGTTCTGGATGCCGCAAATACGGTTGCGGATTCTGCAAAATTGCCTATTTTTGGAGCGATTTTGAGCGGCACAGTGTTTTAGGTGTTTGTTCGTGGAATCAAAAACAGCGAGGAAGATCAAAGATAGTAGCAAAATTGCAGATTCCGGGACAAATCTGAGTTAGGCTTCTCGTGGAATCTGCTTACAATCCACAGAACGCACCGTTTTGCCTCGTAATATGGCCATCCAAATAAAAACTTTTTAGCCGATTTGTTTTCTTATCCAGTTCGTGAAACGGTCGTTTTTTCACCACGGCAAAATTTTGAATTTTGTTGAATTGTGATTTTTCGAGGACAGTCCAAAATGTTGATTTTGGACTCCAATTAGATCGTTCCAAGCTCTGTTTCCTTTTCGCAAATATTGACCGTTCGAATATCCACAGGGCGGTTCCATAAAAATATAATCGAAATATAAATTCAAAATATAATCAAAATTTTTTCCAGCTTTTCTTTTTCTATTTGATTTTTTCTTGAATTTCTTCTTGATAAAAAACCAACGCCGTTTTTATCTCGACAACAGATAAACCTGCGAGAATCAAAGTTTTTCTGGCAAAATCTTGAACTTTTTTGACGTTTTGTAATCGCAAATTAGTCCAAATTCATGAATTTTTCGGTAGATGCATTGCGAAAAATGAAACTAGCAGCCAAAAAATGCCAAAGCATAGAAAACTTCTCAAATTGTCGTTATTACCACAGTTTCATAATCAGTTATTATGGTGTCGGGCATCAAGGGAAAGCCGACTAATTCTTTGCAATTTTCGAACCAATTTTCAATTGGTTCCAACTTCAATTTTTTCTGATTTTGTGGTCAAAAATCCCCAAGCTACAGGAAAATTCCAAGTATGAGCCGACCCAAAGATAGGGTAGATTTGAAAAAAAAGTAGGTGAGGCAGTTTTGAAAGTTCCATCACACAAAAGTTTTTGGCATCTCGCCAAAAATTCAAGACTCTGTTTGGTACCAAAAATCAGCATACCTTGACCTTTAAAGAAGAAAATACTGACGAGTCGTTTTCCATGATCCTGCAAGCTTCATATCTTCGAAAATTTACGGCCGTTTAGGAAAATGTTTGTTCCGTTTTTGTTGCATACTTCGCCGAATTGTATTGTAATTTGGGGTAAAAAATCGCTGATCTGATTCTTGTAATTCCTCGATCGACATATAATTTTTTCAGCGGTATTGTAAGATTTTGAGCAACTTTCTCGAAAAATTTTTCTCGAAAATTCATTTCGGACATTTAAGGGCTTCATTTGATTTGAATTATTAAACAAATTCAAGGAAAGCTTGGACGAGCAACTTGGGTTCACAGGTTTGTAATATTGGATATCTTTGCGTTTTTTGCCCCTTCTTTTCGACTTCACAATTGAAATTCCATTATTTAGAAGAAGTGGCCAGTTAAAATGATAAATGACCTGTTCAATTTGAAAGTTCAAAGTCCACTTTAGCTTTAGTTACAATTACAGTTAATTACATTCTACTCTCAGACCCACTCAGCTTTTAGACCATTCTTCCTTATGACTGGCCACCCTTGGCGACTATTAACCAACAGTCGGTATAGTTTTCTTCCGTAATGCAACAACTCGCAACAAAACCTCGCAATAAAAGACTCTCATCACCCGTTTAATCCTCTCATTTTCGCGTTCACGTTCACCCCTTCCGCCGTCCATTCTACCCTCCCCTCATCCCACGTTTACAAACCCCCCTCCCGTTTACCTCCTCCCAGTTTACAGCCCCCTCCTTAGACCCGTCCCTTACTTCCCCACTCCCCCAGAATGCAACAAAATTCTCACCAAACTGTAGTACTATTTTACTGCATTTTTTTTAAAGGGGTGTCGATTCTTAAGAGGATACCGTAGGGGGGATAATTGTGAAGTAGTTTCATCGTTACTCCTCTTTTTCGAGAAAAACTGAACATTTTTGCTATTCGGAGTGATTTACCGATTTACCGTTGAGCTGGTTATAGAAAACGCGGATATCTAATACCGTTGCAATTATTCAGCTTTTTATTATCAGTGAAGATAACTTTTGGAGTTTCTTTACTCTGCAGGAGCAATTGGCAAAAAGTAATGCCAAACATTTTGGTAAGGTTTTGAATGATTTTTTTTCTAATTTTTGCGTTTCGTTTTTATTTGTTCGCAGTTTAATGTGGTCAGACTTCAGCGCTATTTAACCAGCTACCAGTCACCCTTGCTTAGCATTTGTTATAAACTGTGGTACATTCAGAAAACCGCAATTCAGTACTGCAAAATCTTCATAACATTTTAAGATCATAATTAGAGGTAAAATATGGCATCATCTGTGTGTAGTCCAACCATTTTGCTTTTCAGGCTGATTTGGAGCTAAAGGGGGATAGATTTATGGGTTATTTATCACAGATTGTCAATACAAAAGGTATATTAGCCCTTCTTTTGTATTATTAGCTAATAAAGGTATCATTAACGAACGACACGGGCGGATTTAAAAAAGCAGACGCCCTCCCCCTATCCCTCTACCCTCAGAGACTCGACCACCTCGCCGCTCAAAGGGCATTCCTTTTGGTACTATTTTACGACATCCATTTTAAGCCGCCCGACCCTAAAATTTTTCTGAAGGTGCCGTCAGCGCCAATACTTAGTAATTTTGAGGAAGAGCGCGCGCTCAAATAACGCGATTTTTTTTGGATCAAAATGTTCTCAAAAAACTGCCTTTTTGGCATGGTTAGTTTTTGAAAAATTTGGCATGTTTCAAAACCATTTTGGTCGATCATGTTTCAAAACAATTTTGGTCGACCTAAAAAAAACGTCCGCTTTCAAACCCCCCCCCCACAAAAAAAAAACCCTAGATGTACCCCTGATCAGGCATTAAAAGTTTACTGCGTGAACACACCCCTACCCCAATAACAAACCACAAAAAAATTAAAAGTTGTTGATTTTTTCCGCTTCTATTTGAACGGGCTATTCGTGTTAAATTAGATGTCAGCTGAAGTTGGACCAACCGATGAGTGTTGCGAAGACGAATACGGCGATGAGTTTGGAGTGAACTGCTGCAGCTGTGAAGTATATTCTGTACTTTTCTGGCGTGCAGATGGCCGTGAACCTGTAAAGCATTGATAGTTTTCAAATGTTTTTGGAAATTTTAAAATGATTTGACATTTGACTTGCTAATAGCTTCTTTTTAACTATCTAATTGTTGATAATAATGCTATCATGTTCACAATCCCCCTTCCCCCTAGGTACTTAGTACCCAGTAAAGAAAGAATTTCCAACCCTGTTAAGAACTATTCAACGGTTAGGCATTGAGGGGACAGTGTCAAAAAGATCCTAATATTGACTTGAAAGCACCCTTTCTCAGTGCAGCTTCAATTCAAGAATAGCCCTTAGCGTGAACTTTGTAAATTAGAAAATCTGAGAGTCCTGAAAGCTCAAATGACAACTTGCTCCGACCGAATTCAGCTTTGACACCACCAGAGAACAGATAAGTTCCCTGACTTTGGAAATTGGATAAAACAGAACAATTAATTCCCATAATTGCTTTTTCTTGAGTGACCTTTTTGTCAGTCATTGTTTGCGTTCATACCTTCTCGATCAAAAAGTTGATCTGCTAGAAACAATAACAAAATTGAAAAACCAAAAATGTAATTAATGGTTCGAAGTCTTTTTGGGAGCGAGCTAGGTGCTTGGCATACCAGTCGCTTAGCATACTCTAAATTGCTACAGGGAATGTGTCGCCTAGCATACTCTAGTTTTTTCAAAGGCAGTCTTTTAGCATACTCTTTTTTTTCAGAGTGAGAAAAAGACTGAAAAGGGATTCTCAATAGAAAGCTCAGTGCTAATTTACTGTATTTATTTATAGGCGTGGAAGTTTTTAAGTAGGTACCATAGAGGGATTGTTAAGTAGATCCCTGAAAAGCCCTGCAGTTTTGTCTCTGTGCCAGGCAATGTCGTATAAAAAGTTTCAAACAACCAGCTTTCCCGACAAATAAGTAAAACATTGCTTAAAATTTTGGGTGAATTATTTTTTCGGGCGATCAACAAAGATAATTAATTGAAAATGAAGTTGATCGTTTTTGTGCTAAATAAGAGTAGACCAATCGATGCAATTTTGGTTAGAAAATATGGAGTTTACAAAAGGACTCGAGATTTAAATTGAACGCTGGGGTGGAGGATGATCTTAGCTTAGTCTATCGGCGACTGGTATGCTAAATGACATGGCCCGCCTTCTTCTATTTATCATCTTTTTTATTCCGGCAAAAGCTTCAATCATTCAAATCGTCCTTTAAAAACTGAAAAGTGCTTGCTTTCCTCTCTTGGTAATTCGGCTGAAAAAATGCCAAACTTTCTTCCGCAAACCTACTTAAAGGCGAATAAAAACTTTTAAAATTGATCAAAAAAAAACTTTATAAAAAATAAAATTCATTCAGAATAAAATTATCATTCACAACTAATTTAGGAAAAGAGCAGCCAGTTACTGTAAAAACAGAACAGAATCTTCCGATCGAAGACAGATATTGTCACCAAATGTTCAACACTTGCGAGAACACGACCAAAGAGCAGCTCTATCAATTGAAATGAGAAAAGGTAAAAATAATCCTCGGAGAGCGGTGGTGAAGTGGCTACGTCTCCGGCTCTCAATCGAAAGATCGCATGTTCAAGGCCCGCCATGATCCGTGCTCGCTGCTTGAGGGAGAGGCAACAATACGCAGCCCAGAAAAATAACCAAAAAAACGCATGTAGTTCTTAAACAGGGGTACAACAGCGGTTCGCCGTGATGAGTTATACAGCTCGTAAGTTGGTCCTTTCCCTCGTGCATAAATGGTCCTAATCTTAATTATCAAAAACGCGGCAACGTGTTGGATTCAAATCTACGCCCTAATGCAAGCACGAGATTTCGAGTCTCACGCACTATCCACTCTGCCACGAAAGCTGAAAATCCCAAAAACACTAGTCAAGAAAAGTGCAGCTACATATGCTTATAAATTCCCAATGCATTCAACAAAAGTGGCAATAAATACAAATATACTCCATTTTGCAAGTAATAATGTGGAATATAACAAACTGAAGGCATCCTCACTAACTTTGCATGTAACAAATCGCAAAAGCAACAATCAGAAAGTTTCTGAAATCGAGTTTTTATGATTTTTGTGTTGTTTGAAACAAATAGCTTTTTTCGGTTCATTTGATCAATTAAAAATGCATCAACTGTGTTAACTTATTACTATTCGAATGTCAAAGCACATGCTATCAAAAAACTGTAAAGGTGCTCCTAAAGAAAACGGCACCAGCATTTGCGACTTAGGTTGGAAAAAAAGAAGGTTCGTACTAATACACTAGCTAAGCAAATGTAAACAGTATTACAAAACTGAATTCACTTTTTTTATATTTTAACTTAATCTGCTTCATCTGTCAAGAAAGGAGAATTGCTAAGTAGTTAAATCAGCGAACTTTCGAGCAATCAGAAGGAAGCAAAATTTCAAATTTCACTAGAAAGCTGTTGTTATTCACGTAGGAAGGGGTGATGGGTTTCTTTACTGAATAACATGTCGGACTGTTTGTTGGATTCTTTTTTGAATTACTTGTTGAGGATTTTTTTTCAAATTACGAGAAGGTAGAGTGAGAAAGGGGCAACCTATTAAGTAATGCTGATTGTTTATTTAGTGTTCCAACAACGTGAGAAAGATTTTGGTATGCTAGCGTGCTTTATTTAGCAGAGACCACAAAAAACGTCGTCCGGGTGAAATGATAAATCAGCTTAAAGCCCTTTCAGTCGCATTTCAATAGATGTTGATTATTTTCAAATTACTTTTTTTCAAATTACGAGAAGGTAGAGTGAGAAAGGGGCAACCTATTAAGTAATGCTGATTGTTTATTTAGTGTTCCAACAACGTGAGAAAGATTTTGGTATGCTAGCGTGCTTTATTTAGCAGAGACCACAAAAAACGTCGTCCGGGTCTAATGATAAATCAGCTTAAAGCCCTTTCAGTCGCATTTCAATAGATGTTGATTATTTTCAAAAAGTTATCGCAGTGCTGAGAAAAATTGTCCAGATGATTTTGGTTTAGAGCGAGAAACGGATGTAATTTCTCTCTTCGCAATTATACCTGTAAGACTTCTTTAATAAATTGAGTGCGTGGCTTAAAGCTAGTAAATAAAGATTAAAGCAGGACTTCTAATTTCAACAAAAAAATGAAAAAAAAAAAGAAAATAAATTTTTTTCCGATTTTTTTAAACACTATATCCAATGAAATGAAAACATGGATCCTGTAACTCCCAAATATTTTACAAAAAATAGATTTTCTTTTGTTTAACAAGCAATTTGTTTCATTCTTAATAGAAACATCCATTTCTGTTAGAGCATAATGCACAGTCCACTCCGATTAAATTGTTATCACAAGAAAACTAACAGATTGAAAAGTAGTTATAGTTAACGGAATAATTATGACTCTGAATATAGACCGGGTAGTTCAGTTCAGAACAACAATAGGATAGTAACTATAAAACAGTGAGATGGTCACTCATTGATCTCAGTGAATTTTGGCATGGCATCAACAATTGAAAAAGAAACCTAAAGAGCTTTAATAGCTTCAACAACTTCAATGCTTTTATTATATGGTGAGGTTCTAAATTAGTCTGAAAACAAAAATGTTTTAACTTATTTCCATCTTAACGACGAGAAATTTGAAGTTTCATCGTAGCTGTTTTCGAAGAAAGAGACAGAATATTTGTGCAAGGGGTGGTTTGAAAAAAAAATTGAAATCATTTTTTGAGCAAATAGTTAAAAAGATATTTTGCCTGTGATTTCTTGTTACAGTTTTGTTACAATGTTATGAGGGTTTGAAACTTAGGAGAGTTTGGATGAAAATGCCCGATATATTATTTGCTATAAACGCGTAAGCTGAGATTTAATCCGGCTCGAAAATTGTTCTAAATTGACTTGAAGCCTACTAATTAAAGTTCCGTTCCGACTTTCAAAAAAAATGGTAGAATAGTTGTACCCGGGGTGGGTGGTTTTTTTTTCAGACAATTTTTGACTTTTTAACTAGCAACAGTTTTTTTATATCAGTTGTAAGGTATTGTTTTTCTGAGCTCATTTTGGTTGGGAAAAAATCGTTTCACCTGGGATCTTTTTTTTAAATTCTGAGGGTTTAGATATTAATAAATCGGCCAATTTGGGATAACTAAAGCGCGATTAACTTTGTGCAATTTAAGTGTAAGTGGAGATATAAAACGCAGTCAAAACATTCAAGGCTTCGCCCTGATATAAGCAGTTTTTTTATATGCTGAATAAATCACACATCATAGCATATGCTTAAAAAAATCACTTGGTTTTTAGAAGCGTGCGGAGAGATGATTTAAGAAAGAAAACCCAAAAAAAAAACTTTTTTTGAAAGTTTCATAAATTTTTTGAAATTTTGATTATGTCCGTAAGTCATCAATTTCTGCTTTATTAAAGTTAAAGTCAACGAGCCGTCTTGTTTTACTTTGGAATCCGTAGCTCAAATTACAAATTAGATAAATGAAAATAGCCAGAATAAAAATAATAGTAACCAAATCAAAAATGAACAAAAAATATTTATCAATTAGGCAAATGAAAATAGCCAGAACAAAAAAAACTTATAATCAAATAAATATTTACTCATAGTCAGCTTAGTCCATTCGATATATTTTTACAACAAAGATTTAACGATGCCAAGTTTTTTTTGAATTGAAAAATACATCAAGCAAAGTAAAAGAGCAGCCTGAGTTCTCAGGAATTCGTCCAAATATTTCCTCCTTTGGAGTTCTGTTGCCGTTTCTTATCAAGTCCCACATACACTTAGAGATTGTTGGATTAAATATTTTGTGCACGCTTTATTTGCTTTTCGGGTCATCTTTTTTGTTTGTCATCAAAAACTGCGTCATACATTTTTAAAAAAGAATTCAGAATATTGAACCAGCCATGGCAATGGATATGAACTTGTTACAAGCAATTGTGATGTTCTGAACACTAAGGTGGCGATGGAAATTTGGATTTAGATATATTTTTTCCGTACAAAATTAGGCAAAAAGCGGATAAAGTTAGGAAAGGATATAAATCCAAACGTTTATTTCCCAAACGCG